GTTGTTGCTGTTGTAAGAGATTTCAGGGACATAGCCATAAATTATTTGCCAAGATCACTGTTGAGAAGGGTATTTCCTAGTTTTTTTCCCCAGGATTTTTATAGTCTTACATTCAAATCTCTAATCTATCTTGAGTTAATTTTTGGATATGGTGAAAGGCAGAGGTCCAGTTCCTTCTTTCGCATATGGCTAACCAGTTATCCCACCACCATTTACTGAATGGAGAGTTCTTTCCTTAAAACTTGGTTTTCTCAGCTTTGTTAAAGATCAGATGATTGTAGGTCTGCAGCTTTGTTTCTGAGTTCTCTAATCTATTCCATTGGTCCATGTATCATTCTGATACCTAATAACATTCAAGGTAAGACTCTCAGCTCACTATATGCAAGAAAGCCTATTACCAATACATTTATTGAAAACAATCAGAGACAATTGCTTAATATTACAGTTGCCTCATTGTTTAACATCACATTTGTCTGATATTGTAATACTAGTTGCGGCAAACAAGTGCCTGGTTTAAAACATAAAAAGAAGACTTTAAAAATGAGATATCCATAGAAAATTTTAGAAAGCTCTGACATATTCTTTGTAATGTACAAGGCAATGGGCATGTTCAGGGCTGTGCATATAGCCAGGAAAGACCTGCAAGTATTTCCTTCTCTCATGTCTGGGTCATCTTGAGGACATGCACAAGGGGCCAAGAAGTCTAAGATGGAGTTGTAAGCTGCCAAAATGTTGAAGGAGTGCCATACCACATACACGGATTCCCTTGGCAAAGAGTAGAAAAAATATTGGTTTAAGGTATTTAAGGAGATCTCTGAATAATTGCTAATAGATTACTAAAGTAGCAAAGCATGGACTGTGAGTTCACATAATGTAAGAAATAAATACTTTATATATTACTTATAGAATTAATCTAAAGAAGGTCAGTAACAGAAACAACAACAAAAAGTAGCAAAACAACAACATCAACAACTGAAATATTATTCCAGAGAGAAAGAAAGTCAACTTTTCCAACTGCACACTATGTTATATGAAAGTTTTCAATATTCGGAAACGTAGAAGACACACAGGGACACCAGAGAATATAGTTCATATACAGAGGGGGGAATGTCAATAGAAACAGTCCTTGGGGGTACCAGATGTTTGACTAAAGAAGGAAATAATTTCATCTTAATCATTGCAAATATAAAGGGATAAAGGAAATGATAATTGAAGGATCTTTTAAAATGTATGGCAATAAGAATTCAAGCAAGATTAAATTATTAAAAGTATAGAAAATCTAGGCTTGTAAAAAATAACTACAGTTAAAAATGATTACCTAAGGCTCAACAGCAGATATGAGCTAACAGAAGAAAGAAGCAATAAATATCAACATAGGTCAAATGAAATTGTCCTCTGTGAGGAACAGAAAGAAAGAATAAAGAAAAATTGTCTTAAGAAATAATTTGCAATGTGTTTTTCTTAATTTTCAAACAGCTTGCCTGCACTAAGTTAATGTACACTTCTTAGTTTTCTTTTAGATTTCTCCAGTTAACTACACATTTGATTGGCACCTCAGGCATATCATTTGACTGGTCACCATAAGACAGTCTCTGGAGACTCTGATCTTCATAGGAGAAATGCATGAACACTAAGCACATATAAGCTCCAGGGAGCATACAATGTGAACATGGCTGTGCCAGAGGAACATTGCTGTATGTTTGTTTCCCTTTTACTTTTGATTTTCTGTCTCCTAAGGGACATAACAGCTTTCCAAACTTGAGGGGACTCCTGAGCATTTGTGTAGCCTATTACAAAGCAACTATAACTACCAACTTGCCAGAGAGACTTTCTGCTTTAATGATAAATGCTGTCATAGTTTTTAACCGTTTCCACATATGGATATCTCCCTAGATGCTGCAGTGAAAAATGATCATTTGTGATTTTGCAGAAAATAAGTTACAACAGGTTTTTAATTCCAATCTGCACTATATTATGTACTGTAAGATGGTATTCAAGATAAAGCAGGTGGAAGTAAATGAGAAAGGAAAATGTATAAACATGTAAATAATGTTACACATTTCTAAAAGACATGTGGACATTTGAATTAATGTGAATTTCTAGTAGAGGAGTAAATCATCCTAGAAGATACACACACACACACAAATACACACAAACACACACACACATATATACACACACAAAAAGCTGTAGTCAATATGCTACTTTTTAAGGAAAAACATTGAAAAGTTATACTAAAGGGTAGTGTCTGGTTATGCAACTCATGCTAAAAACAATTTTATAGGAAGATATTCTAAGAAGGAAGCTGAAGTGAATGAAGGGTAGGCAAAAACTGTAAATAGACTGACCATCTCTAAAGTCGGAAGCTTCAGGAACAAGAATAAACATCTGTGAAATTATTAAGAGACTAGAGAAGATCTACAGGAACATCTGATCTCCTCTGGAAATTTATTGCGAGTTTGCTGGAATTCTGCACCTTCTTTTTGGTGCTCACAGTCTGATGAAGGAGGCTGACAGAAAAATAAACAAAATGCAAATAATACGGTAAGAGTTCTATGAGACACTTAATGACTGCTTGTCTGAAGTATTAGAGTTAAATAAAGGAGACAAGGATAATGCTGGGATTTCTTACTTTAATGGCTGGGTGGCTATTGTTTCCACCAAATAAAATACAATCAAGTAGAGGAGAATGAAAGAACTCACTGAATTTAGTTTGAGGTATATTTATGTGATGTCACTAAAATGCATTGATATATATAATATGTAGTACTTTCAATAAAGACTGCATAGAAAATACCATGATACTGAAATAGAGTCATCTATGCTGAACTGGCAGGTTCCAGCAAGGGGCTTTGTGGACTGATCCAGAAACAAGCAAACAATCAAAGCCCAGGCTCTCAGAAGGAATCAGGTATTTATCTGGTTCAGAAACAGATAGAGTAATGGTGCCAACATGTAGTTATAGAGGTTTGGGAAGATATTCCTATTGCCTTGGCTGACTGTCTGCTGAAGATAATGTCAAGAATGGCCTTATTGAAACAAATGGATGTCTCTAGAGTTTCATTCAAATTAAGCCTGAGAGGAAACAGAGAAGACTTTCTATGAGGGAGGGTTGACTGCACAAGCAGATCACACTTTGGGAAGTATTCTCCATAAATTTCTTGGTGTCTCACTTCGGACACCCAAATAGAAAGCTTCTCTTGGTTAGCGGGAAGTCACTTTACTTCTTTTCTCTTGGTATAGATTAGAAATGTTGCCATCTTATAAGTAAATTCATGGGAAACTAAATGATAATGGTTTTTAAATATTTATATGTATTTACCAAGCACAATTATGCTTGTTTGTAATCTTAAGCAATGTTGCTTCCCTAAAATCTAAGTATACATTTCTAGGTGGCTTAAGTTGTTTCTTATAACTACAACTCTATGCTTAACATTATAACATTATACCCTATTATTTTCCAGTGGCATCTTGTGTATCTGATTCTCCCAGAAACGAATACATTAATGGTACATGGCAAAGCATAATTACAAATGAAAAACGGCCATTTAAGGAGTTGCAAAGAGCAAAACTTAATAAATACTTTTAAAGCTTTCATGCTTTGAATGTTAAATATTTGCTCATTTTGTGTAAGTTCTTATCTGTGGGGTTACGGCTTCATCTGTTCCATGACTCTGTGTTCTAGTAGGAGTTGAAGCTCTGAGTGTTTCTAACATGTTTTGTGACACAGTAACTTTTTTCAATTCTTTACTATGAAACACTTCAGTCTCTCACTTACATAGGCCCAGCATAGTATATCTTTAATTGTAGAATGCAGATACCATAAACAAGAAAACATTCTCCCACACAGGTATTATTTGGACATCGAGGCAAGAAGCATTGTCATTAGAAATACATGTTAATATTTATAACAATATGTGATAAGGATATATTCATCAATATATCTTAATCTTTTACATCAGTGAAGTTTAGGACCAGAAATTGCCATAATAGGAGAAAATATAAGTGTGTAGCAAGTATTCTACACTCTTGGTGGGAGGTAGACACTGGATTCTAGGAAGAAAGATAGAGAGCTGTTATCAAAATTAAAGGATATGGTCAGAGCAAGAGTCATCAGAAGCTACTCTTGCTGTATATATTTTTTAAAAGGCTGATTTATAGATGCTTTGCTCTTTACTCTCATAATGCTGGTGGATGCAAGAGCCAGAGGCAGAGCTGAGTCTATAGATTAAATCCCTCAATTTGTAGAAAATAAGCTGGACTTAATTAACTGATGTTCTTATTTATTGCAATTTTAAACCATTTGCTGGAATTGGGAAATAAAATCTCTCATTACTTTTACATGGTTGTGTTACTCTGTTCATCTTTAAATCTTCTTAAGTAGTTAACCTAAAATACGCATACATTTGCCTTTGATGCATAATAAAGCATATATTGTCATTAATTTTGATTTTTTTAATTCTTTAGTGTTAGGAAATCTTATTCTGAATTACTGATTAAGTTATACTTCCTAAGGATAACAGTATTATTTAAAAGTAGTTGCATGTTGAAACACCTGTTAATCATTTTGTGCATGAATGTGTGTGTTCATGTGTCTTTGTCTTCATATTTTATGTAAATTTCCTTGAAAACACAGCTTGGTTTTTGTTCTAAGACTGTTGGTGTCACAGAATCCAACACTTGCTTTGGCACAGGATGAGGTTACATTATTACTATCTACTTTTCTTAGAGGAAATAGAAATTATGTAGTAGAATTAAATGAACTTTCAAAACTCAGAAAAAATAAAATAATAAATACACTAAATCTTCTCATTTTCAGAAGAATATGTGGGAACTCAGAATGGTGAAATGGTTTACCAGGAAATGTATGTCAGCTCTTCAGGTAGGCTATTACACAGTATGCCTGGATTCTCCCACATGCAGAATCATGGAAAAATCGCATTGTAATCCTGCTTTGCCTGCCTACTTTGAATTAAACATACAACTTCTCAAGTTTTAACATGGGAGACAATGCTACACATTACCACATCTCATCCTTCTTCCTGATTGGTATTCCTGGTTTGCAAGATTTTCACTGCTGGATTGGCATCCCTGTCTTCCTCCTGTTTGTCCTGACCCTGCTGGGGAACAGTGTAATCATTGTTACTGTCAAGCTAGAACCAAGCCTCCAGCAGCCTATGTATTTTTTCCTTTGCATGCTGGCAGTGAATGACATGGCTCTTGCCTCTTCCACAGCACCCAAAATGCTTGGAATCTTCTGGTTTGATGCTCACAGGGTTGTCTTTAATATCTGCCTAGCACAAATGTATTTCATCCACACATTTTGCATTATTGAGTCAGCCCTTCTTGTTGCCATGGCCTTTGACCGCTTTGTAGCTATTTGTATCCCACTGCGTTATACAACCATCCTGACGACACCAGTGGTTGTTAAAGTGGGTGCCATTGGTGTAATTCGAGCTATCCTAATGGTTTTGCCCTCTCCTCTTCTTATTAAGAGGCTACCGTATTACACCAAATATGTCATCAATCACGCATATTGTGAGCACATGGCTGTGGTGAAGTTGGCCAGCGCCAATACCTTCATTAACAGAGCATATGGAATCTCTGTGGCCCTTTCAGTGGTGATATTGGACCTAGGGCTCATTGCCACGTCCTATATCAAAATCCTTCAGGCAGTCTTTCGTCTTTCTTCGCAGAATGCCCGCTCTAAAGCACTGGGCACCTGTGCTGCCCATGTCTGCACTATTCTTGTCTTCTATATGCCTGCACTTTTTAGCTTCCTAACTCACCGCATTGGCAAGAAGGTACCTCCAAGTATCCACATAATTTTTGCAAGTTTGTACCTTCTAGTTCCCCCCACAGTCAATCCCCTGGTATATGGTGTCAAGACCAAGCAGATTAGAGACCAAGTGATGGGTCTGTTTTTCTCAAAGAAAAAGATTTCTAGTAAGTAAAACATGGAAATACCAGCCCTAGTTTGTATTCTGGCTCTTAAAGACATGGTTACCCTGCGGAATACCTCAAATCAGATCTCCAAAGTTCTCTTTCTTGCTTCTTATATGCCTTGTAGCAGAAATAGTTGATGTTGTACATTCACTTCGTTTAATACTACCTTTTGTCAATTTTTTATGTTTTCCGTTCATATCTATTTGAAATAAAAATAAATCAGAAATTGTCAAAGTTTGCCACATGGAAGACATTTAATATATTTTAATAATTATTTTATTACTTTATATATGATTTAATATTGATAATTTTGTTATTATTTTATATTTCATCCACAAATGTGAAATAACTAAATAAGTGTTACAAAAAAATTGAAGAATTTCAGTTTGTTTGGTCAGACTTCTTTTTGAAAAATGATGTCACCATTGGGCATGGTATATTTAGGATACATAAGTTTTATTAGCTGTATGTATTGGAAATAGTTTTTTAAAACTATGGATTGTCTTATTACTATATTAATTATGTCTTTTTAAAAAATTTAAAATTTTATTTTAGATACAGAGGGTCCCATTTCTGATATTTTGGGGGTTTTTTTTGGCAATAGATTTCAGGGGCATACCCATAAATTATTTGCCAAGATCACTGTTGAGAAGGGTATTTGCTAGGTTTTTTTTTTTCTAGGATTTTTATAGTTTGGAATCTTTCATTCAAATCTTTAATCTATCTTGAGTTAATTATGGGTAAATGTAGACGGCCAGTTTCATTCTTTCACATACGGCTAACCAGTTATCCCAGCACTATTTATTAAATGGAGAGTTCTTTCCCTAGTACTTGTTTTCCTCAACTTTGTTAAAGATCAGATGACTGTGGGTCTGTAGCTTTATTTCTGAGTTCTCTATTCTTTGGTCCATGTGTCATTTTGATACACTAATAACATTCAAGGTAAGAGTCAAATCAAGAACACAATCTCATTGATAACAGCCATAAAAATTTTAATACATAGTAATACAACCAACGAAGGAGGTGAAAGACCACCGGTATTTCTGTCAAACCTGCAACGTCTCTATTCACAGAAAAAGAAAAAAAAAAACTATTCTAAAATTAATATGGAACCAGGAAAAAGCTTGAAAAGCCAAAACATTCTAACTAAAACAAAACAAAACAAAAAACACAAAGCCAGAGGCATCACATTATCCAACTTCAAACTATATTATTAGGCTATCGTAATTAAAATAATACAGTACCAGTACAAAAACAAACACAGAACAATTATGTTTTGATGGTCCAAAGTTCATATTTGAATATAGTTCAACGTAGCATTTTTTCTTTTATGATTAGTGTCTTTTGTGTCCCATGTGAGAACTATCTGTACACTATAAGTTTTCTTATGTTTTCCCATAAAAAGTTTATTTTTTTATTTTACTTTCTATGTTTGCATTAGCACTGCATATGGAACCAATTTAGCATACATTGTGGCAGAAGAGTTCTGACTTTTACATACACAGATTCAGCAGACTCAGAAGTATTCATTAAATCAATCATCTTTTTTCCACTACAAAGCCCTGACAATTTTGTCAAAATTACTGTTAGTTATAAATGTGTAAATATATAGGAAATTAGTGAAACTAATACGTATTCAGTACACTGTAATTTAAAACATTAGAAACATTGAGATTTAAAACATTTTATTTCTTTATAAAAACACACTACTGAGAGTAGTTTAAACAGTGCTTGTCTTAGATGTCTTAGAGCAAGCATCTTTTCTATACGTTGGCAAATTGTTGTACTGTTAAGTTTGGATGATGTTCAACATTTATTATTGGCACTTTAATGTCATGAAATATCCCCGCGAATTCCTGAATCACAAAGGATTATCATTCAGACATAAGGAGGCAATACTTTTTGACGTGGCACAGTCTACGTGTGAAGTGAAAAACAGATGTACAGTAAGCCATTATGAAAGACTTTGAAATAAATGATATTATTTGTCATGGATCATGCACATCTGTTATTTACACAGTATTTTGTAGATTGAAGAAGTAGCATCAAAGACCATGTATAATGAAATTGCTCACAGTTCATACAGCTTTATTACTGAAACTGAAACTATGTTTCTAGGGGTTAGTTGCTATATAACTCAAGTATGATAATTGAAATTCCTATATACTAGAGTCATGGAGAGTAAATACAATTGAACACAATATAAGAAGAAAATGTTTCAGACAATGGGCAATATATATACTTATGCTTGTAAAATACTATCCTTCCACAAAGAGAAACCCATGAAGTGACATTTACATTCTCACCAGAATTCTATTTGTAGTTTCCTAACGTAAAAAGAAGCAGAATACACACTGAGACCTTCAGTTGTGCTGGGTGAGGAAGAAAGGATTACAGTATAATGTAACTGTGGTAGCTAGAATCTTCAGGGCAAGGTACTGGAGAGGAAGAAAGTTGCCAGAAAAGAGTTAAGAAATCTGCATATAAATTCCCATAATCTGTAAACTGCACTTGTGCAAAACAAAAGTCTGGGAGAGTAAAGCAACTGGGATGGTGTGAGATACTTAGGGAAGCGAGGAATTACTCAGTGCCAGGAGATGTTAGAGTACTGACCAACTAGAGTGAAGAGATCTCTCTGAACATTGCCTGCAGTCAGTTGGAACTGACTATCCTAATGGTTAATCCTTAATAATTAAACCACATTAGCAGTAGATTAATGGCAACTCTAGAATTATGGTACGGAAACCTAAAAGGAAACTTGGAAAGAATCAAGGCAATCTTCTAGTATAATTAATTCTCTAGCAGGACAAAATACGAGTTTACCCATGTCACAGACTTGCACATGTATGCCCAAACTTAAAATAGAAGTTAATAAATCATTTTAAAATGCAAATATTTCAAGAAGAATTAAAAAATACAAACTTTCATTATTGTAGCACTTACAATGTTAAGCATGAAAAAAATGCTAAGTAGGTAAAGAAAGAGACAAATGACTAACAGCAGATAAATAAATAAATAAATACATGCTTGCAGATATTACAGATATTTAGATGCTAAAATTATAACATAAATACTGGAATTAGCAGATATACTTTTATGAATACATAAAACACTAAAGAAAAAACTGATTATAATAAGCAAATAAATGGAGAACTGCCACAGATAAGTAAGTATAACAAAGTACAAAATAATAACTATAGAAATAAAAATACAAATATGAAATAAATACTTTGCTTGGGCTTCACTGCATATTATTAGATACTAAAAAAGATTAGAAAAATTAGAGGTATTAAAATTTAAAAAATTCCACCAAAAGTGAATGAAATAAAATATTTTTTAATGAACAAAGCGTTAGGAATCTCTGCAACAATACCAAGCTGTCTACAAAATAATTGGACAACTAGTAAAAGGAGAATAAGATTAAGCAATTGCCTATTTCTTTTTAGTTTTAGCAAAAATACTGACCCAGGTTCAAGAAATTCAATAAATTACAGTGAGGATAAACATACAAAAGTGTCACACTTCCATATATGACAGTGAGATAGGTAATTGCTAAATATAATGAGACAGTGAAATAGGTAATGGCTAAAAATAATCTTAATGTACTCAGGGAAAAAAAGGCAAATAATATTCCTGAATTAGTAATAAGGATTACTGATTATTTCCTATTAGAAACATTTCAAATCAGTAAACATAGTAATATATTTTTAAATTTTTAATAAAAATTTATTCTATTAGTCTATATGTTTAAAAGAAAAATGCTTCATAAATTAAGGTGAGTGAGGAATGACTTCTGAAAAAGCACTTATATCTTAGTAAATCTACTAATTTATAAAATAATTTAAAAATCACCAGTAACAATATTAAAACCAATATTTTCAGAATCCTGGAACTTAAGCAAAAACTACCAAAAATTTGAGGACCATTTATTCAAAAGAAAACTGCTAAGCTTTAATAAGGGAAGTACTTGCAACATTTTAATTTGTCTTACTTCAATTCCTCTAAGAAATACTGTAATATTCTTGAAAACCATCACTTTCAGAAATATAGTAACTGTAAAAACTTGTAGGCATATGGTCAACAAAAGGGGCAGAGCAGTATTGGAACTCCACAAAAATTCTCCTCATCTCAAGCATTATTACTATTAGACCTCTGTTAGCTCCTCAAACAAACAAAAAAACACTCAGGTGCATTGTCCTTTGATCTGATTCTCAGCTCACTGTGTGCAAGAAAGCCTATCACCAATGCATTTACTAAGAACAATCAGAGGCAATTGCTTAACATCACAGTTGCCTGATTGTTTTGCATCACATTTGTCTGATGTTGTCTGATATTGTAATACTAGTTGGGGCAAACAAGAGTCTGGCTGAAAACTTAAAAGGAAGACTTTAGAAATGAGATCTCCATAGAAAATTTTGAAAAGCTCTGACATATTCCTTGTAGTTTACAAGGCAATG